AGAGAGAGAGAGAGAGAGAGAGGGAATCCCGCAATCCGAAATATTACAAACGGGGCCTCTTCACAACCCATCACCCACCCCCATCGGCAGTAGCGTCATCATCATTCCGAGGGCACTCGCAACCATGGCGTCGTCACCACCAGCGAGCAGCCCAAATGCTCCCCAGACTCCTACCAACGATGCACAATCATCACACGCAGCAGGCGCAACACGCGAGCGCTCCAACTCGTCGGTACCGCTGGCGAAACGCTTCAAGCTCGACCATGCCGAAGCTTCCGCAACACCCGGTGCATCCAATCCCACCAATGCTTCCATCAACGGCGCCAAGCCAGCCACCACGGCAGCAGCAGCAGCAGCGGCGGCGGCGCCCGAGCAGAGAGACAACTTTGACAGCTTGGTCGACGTCATGGGTGCATCGGGTGTGGATCTGCAGGCAGAGGAGGAGGCGATCCAGCGACGCGAGCAGCTCATGCAGCAATCCCGAACCGCACAACACAGGGGTGCACAGCCCGACGACGACGAAGTCTTCCTCCAGATCTACCCGCTCGCCTACAAGGTGCACACGCTCGCACAGCAGCACGGCCTCAGCGTGGACGCGGCCGTGCTCAACTACCTCTCGCTCGCCGCACGCACCAGGCTCAAAAACATGCTCGAGGCCATGATCGCATCGTCGCGCCACCGCAGCTGGTCGTCGCACCACCATGCGCCGCCGCTCTACGCATCCACCTCGCAGCCGATGTACGACGAGCAGATCCTCACCGATCCCGCCAAGCAGCTCGCCGCTGTCGAAAAGGCCGAACGAGGCGACGAAGCCAGAAGGCGGCGCGAACGCCTCGCTCGAGACGAAGAGTCGTCTGCAGCCGCAGCCGGTCTCGACGCCGACATGGACCTGGACGACGGCACGACCAAGGCCGACGGCAGGAAGCGGCCCAAAAAGATGGGCCCCGGCGTGGCGGCGCGCAACATGTCGGAGGACGTGCGCAAGCGGCTGGCGGACAGCACCGCCATGCGCAACCTCGGCGGCGGCTCGTCCAAATACTCGTGGCTCTCCGGCGGCTCCTCCTTTCCCGGCAGCTTCAGCCCGCTCGGTGCCAAAAAGTCAAAGCCAGACGCGGACGATGCAAAGTCGGCCAGCCGGTTGCCCAAGCCCAAGTTTGCGCCTCAACCAGCCGTGTCCAACTGGAGTGGTGGCGGCGCCAGCGATGCCGGTGCAGCAGCATCATCCAACGCCTCCACGGGCGCGTGGGGCGACGTCACAGCTCGCCAAGCAGCAAAGGACCAGGAGGAACGCCAGGCTCGTCTCAAAGTCACGCTGCGCGACGCGCTGTTTGCGCTCGAGTACGAACGAAGGGCAGGCGCAGGTCACGGCAGTGGAGAGGCGCTCCTCTATCGCATACGTGCCGGCGATGACCACTTTCTCAAGGCCAAGGAGGCGCAGTAGCTGCAATCAATAATCAAACTGTACCACCATCCATCCTACATGCGCCATTCGTGTGAGCTGGGCGAGAAGCATGAATCGCCCGTGTGGAGTGCAAACGCGCCGCCGCAAAATCACGATTTCCGACGCGCACTGACCAGAGGAATGCAAAGCCCATGCAAAGCCAACACTTCTTCCTTCCTAACTGCCATCTGCCCTCGTCAGCTCGCACAGCGCTCCTAGCTTTTCCCCCCATGCAGCGCTCGGCGGCGCTAGCCTGGCTCCGCCGCGTCTGCCTCGACGACCATGGCTACAACTACGCGCTGCCCGCCCTTGCCATCGCATCCGCCGTGCTCTCACAAGCCGTGGTGCGTCGCATCAGCTTCACCGAGATCGACTTTCAGACCTACATCGCACAGGCCAGCCTCTTCCTAAAAGGCGAACGCACCTACACCAACCTCGACCCACTGGGCGGCAGCGGTCCCTGCGTCTATCCCGCCGCACACATCTACATCTACGCCTTCTTTCACTGGCTCACCGACGGCGGCCAAAACATCCTGCCTGCGCAAAATGTCTTTGCTGCGCTATTCACCATCAATGTGCTCGTCGTTGCTTTGCTCTACCGCAACGCAGGCATGCCGCCCATCGCTCTCCTGCCACTCATCCTCTCCAAGCGCATCGCCTCCATCTTTCTGCTCAGAATGTTCAACGACCCCATCGCCATCCTCTTCGTCTACCTCTCTCTTCTCGCCATCATCAAGGCGCGGTGGTCACTCTCGGCTCTTCTCTTCGGCGTAGGCCTCGGAGTCAAGATGAACGTGCTCCTCTTCTTGCCTGGCATCGTAGCGTCGTGCTTCGCCTATACTGGCTTCAACGGCACCATCTCGTACGTCTCGATCGTCGCCGCGGTGCAGGCGATCATCTCGCTACCCTTCACCTTGCACGATCCCCACGCATACCTCGTGCGCGCATTCGACTTCTCCAGAGCCTTTCTCCACGTCTGGACCGTCAACTGGCGCTTCGTATCGGAAAGAACTTTCCTCTCGTCCGCCTTCGCCAAGGGATTGCTCGCTCTACACCTCATCCTGCTCGCCCTCTTTGGCATCTGTCGCTGGACGCCCATTTGGACCAACGGCCCCGCGTGGATTGTGCGTAACATGTCCACACGCAAGACCACGCTTGCGCCTTCCGCCAAGATCACCATCCTCGGCTGCGCTTTTGCATCCAACCTCATTGGCGTGCTCTGCTCCCGAAGCCTGCACTATCAGTTCTATTCATGGTACTTCCATCAGCTTCCTTTCGTACTCTGGTTCTCCAAGCTACCGCTCGTCGTCAAGTTGGCGCTTCCTGTGGCTCTTGAGTGGTGCTGGAACGTGTTTCCCTCCACAGACTCCTCCTCGTTGGTCCTTCTGGCTTGTCATGTTCTGCTCGTGCTCGCCTGCTTCACGCTTCCCGCCTTCGCCGATTCGTATGCCCTCGCTCAGCGCGCCCTTCGCCTCGAAGAAAACGAGGTGGATCTCTTGCTGTCCAACGACGTTTCCCACGAGCACGCCGCAGCAACGGACTCGCAATCCGATGACGAAGAAGACGACGCTCTCGATCGCATCGCACAAGCACGACTCGCCAGAGAAGCCAGGGAGGAAAAGATCCGCGCCGCATTCCGACGCCGCATCCAGACGCGCCGCAAACTTCTCGCTCTCCTCGGACGAATCTGCCTAATCCTCCGCTCGCTCCTCATTCTGCTTGCCCTCGCGCTTCTGTTCGTCATTCCGCATCCTCGCTCTCCCGTATCCAAGGGCACCTACGTCGATGAAAACGCCCTCCAGCCGGGACAGGCTCGCGTCTACTGGGACTACTTTGACGTCACCTACGCCGACATGGTGTCCGAAAAGGTGGCGTTCTTGGCCTCCGAGTCCACCGAGGCCCGTGCAGATTTTGTCTGGTCCGAGCTCCAATCGTACGGCCTCGATGTCCAGCAGCAAAAGTACCAATATCGTTCCGGCGCAGGCGAAGATTCCCAAAGCGGAACAAATGTCTATGCACGCTCGGCCACGCCTCGTATCGATGGTCGCGAGGCTGTCGTCATCACGGCGAGTTGGCAGAGTCGATGGAAGGGCCAAGATGACCCTTTTGCGCATGTCAATGCCACTGAAGCATCGAATGGCGCTCGCGTCAACGTGCGCGGCATCGCCTCGGTCCTCGCGCTCGCGAGGTACCTCTCCACCCAGGCGCATCTGAGCAAGGACCTCATCTTTGTCATCAGCGACGGCCATCTCGAAGGCATCAACGCCTGGTCTTCGGCCTACTTCGGCGATGTCGCCGCCGGGCTGGAGGTAGAGCCCGTCGTGCTCGGCGGTTCGCAGGTATGGAATGCCATCTCGATCGACTATCCTGCTGACTCGTTCTCGTCGCTCGTCGTGCAGTACGAAGGATTCGATGGACAGCTGCCCAACATGGACGCCATCAATACCATCGTGCGCATAGCCGACAGCGTCGCAGGAAGCATCCCGATCGATCTCGAACAGAGCAAGGCCACGTCGCTGCTCAAGCAGCCTGCGCATAGACTGGCGCAAAGACTCGGCATCTCGCTCCGCGCCGACGTCGAGTACGAGCTGGACAGCTACGAGCACGGCGTGCGTGCAGCATTGCGACAATTCGGACACGGTGTTGCGGGGCATGCAAGCGGACCCCACGGCTTTTTCCAGCGCCACCATGTCGATGCCATCACCATCTACGCCGTCCCTGCCACCGGGCCCTACGGATTTTTCCACATGGGCAGGCTGGTCGAATCGTTTGTGCGGTCCATGTCGAACCTGATCGAGCGCCTGCATCACTCGCAGTTCTTCTACCTGCTCCTCAGCCCGCGCCGCTTCGTGCCTATCGGTATTGCTATCCTGGTTCCTCTCTTCCTGTCCATCTCGCTCACCATCAGCGGATTCGCATCGTGGCTCGAGCAGGAAGCCAAGTCGAAGAAGCTGCGCCACGATGTCTTGGAAACCTTGAAAGATGCTCAGCAAGATGCGGGCGATGTTCAGCCCGAGGCTCCGACCATGTCGTGGTATCGCCAGAAGTTGGTGGAAAAGAGCCTCGCACGCGGGTTAGACGCAGAGATAGTGGCCGATGCAGATGGCACGGCGGCCTCGCTGGTCGAGGCGATGCGGCCGTGTGCAGCCACTCTGGCCTGCATCGGCTCGACGGTCGTGGTTGGAATGGGCATGCTGCACCACTGCGCGTCGTTGGCGGATAGCATCACGAGCCCCGATGCCGGCAAGGTAAGCTTTCCCTATCTTTCAAGTGAATCGTATGCATAAGTGTTGGTACTGACAGGGCGTTTGGCTTCTTACCACAGACGAATTTTCCAGTTGCAGCACTCGTAGGGTCGACGTTGGTCCAAGCGGCCGAAGCCATCTACTTCCGATCGCAGTGCTCTTCTCCGCGCCGACGACGAATCGGCTCACTCCTCATTGCGTTCGCGTACCTACAAGCAGGCATGCTAGTCGCCGTGCTGAGCGTCCTCAACTTTGCGCTGGCCACCGTGCTCGCTCTACTAGCATACCCCGCGCTCGCCGCCGCCTCTTCTGCCCGCTTCCCGCAAAACCCGCTGTCCGCTATGGCGCGATACGCGGTCATCGCACTATTCAGCCCGGCAACATGGGCGGTACTTTTGCAGATCTTTCCGACGCACATGGGTGCAGCGGTAGTGCGGTCGTTGATGACGCATTACACGCTCTTCCAAGCGGCCACCGTGCCCGTGTTTTGCATGGCGTACCTGCCTATCGTGTTGCAGGCCCAGCTAGGACTGCTCCTCACCACCTAATCGTGATAATCGTAATATTTGTTGTCGCCTCATTTGTTCAGTGGCTGAGGCTGGCTGTGTTGATCCACCATCATCCCAAGCTTCATTGTTTGTGAGCACATCAAATTGATTGACTTTGAGAGACTCTTGAAGATTACAGCTTCAACTCCCGTACAATGAACGTGAAACAGGGATCATCGGCGTTGCTTCCCTGAGCGAGTGGAGCACCACTTCCGCCTCTTTGGACCCATCCGCCATGCATGCACCTCGCCATGTGAACCGCAACCTCTGTACTGATGCGGGCTTTCCGTGTCGTATCCATAAGGCAAAATCAAAGCAAATCGTGGAACCCAATGCACTGATTGGTCCCGACATCAAGACTCGTTTAGCCGTCGTGGACCCAACAATCAATGGCATTGCGGCTTTCTCATCCCGCATCGGGAATACAATCAGGCGAAAAATACGATCAGAAATTCGTGAACTGTGGTGTCGTAAATATTCAAGATCATATTCCATATTAGTGCGAGGTTCGCTAATTGTCGGCTCTATGATCCGTTCGATTGGCAAGTGCGAATTCTTTGCCAAAACTGCTGGCGTCTTGCTGTCCTGGACGACCTGGGTTCATCCATGTTTTTCACAAATGATCGAGTGGTCTGCTACCGTGATATGACTCGGCAATATCATGCATCATGAGAAGGAAGAATCATCACGTTGACCTGTCGGACAAAAAAGCTCGCTTCCTTTTTCGTCCCCCTGCTCTCTCTTGAAGACGAGTTTATGACAATAAAATAATGAGCCGCTTTGACTCAGCTTGTGGCACGACTGACCATTTGTAAAACAAACGTGATCGTGCAGTCATGAGGCGTGTTTGACGAGAAGCCAAACTCTGATAAATACGACCTCCGTCGCTGATCTAAATCACAATCTCCGGCGTCACACTTTCGGAGACTTACGAGCAAGATAATGATCTTGCAAAACATGCTCTGAATCATGACGTGGTCGATTAGCAAACCATCTATCCGACTCTTCACAAATCTTCAATCTACTTGGTGAAGTTTGATGCCTTTGTCTAGCCCTGAAACGAACCGTCTATGAGTCTCTTACGCAAGCTGGTCGTGATCAAAATGACATTCAATGATGCGCTCGTTCCCATTAATTGTCGTCCTGACTTCCTCAGAAGACGCCTAAACGCTGGTCGCCGACCCACTTTCTTACACAGGATGATTTGCAAAAGGGAAGGGGTTATCAGGTGTCTATTCAATTATCGAGATACTTTACAGAGAGCTACCCTTAGAATCAAGCATTTTTGCGCATGAGTCGTAATCTGGCTTACTCCTTGTCACAAAATGTGACAGACACTTCGGACCGCGACCAATCTTGTCGAACAATGAATATAAAGGCAGACATAGCAGCTTGGATTTTCATCAGGTTCATTGACTGCCGGGTTGTTTCTCGAGATCCGACTTGTTTGACTAACCTGGCCGACGATGATTTGGAAGTAAATCATGAATGATGACTGCTCAGACAAGGGGAGGATGTGTCATGCGCATCGGGCTCATCATCTTCATGTCTCAATTATGACACAGTCTCAGCTTTGCGAATTGAGAATTGCGAATTGCGAATTGCGTTCATGCGCCTTTTCCCGGAGTCAGTAGCGACAGGATTGATAATCTGTCTGTAATTTAATATTATCTTTCTTGTAAATCATAAATTCTGGACCGACAAACACAGGGCAATACTAAACTTGTCAAAGATAGCACTAAAGTATTCAATGGTCGTAGACCCCTTGCGTCTCTCCGCTCTCTTTCCTCAGCCATCACCTGGCTGATGCACGGCTAGTCTTGCCCATTCGCAATTTGTCCAGGAGATCACAAAACACGCCGTCGACAAGTGAGTGCGTCGTACTTGCTCAACTTTGGACTTGTTTTGAAGTTCGCCATTCGTGATTTAAGCACCTCGCTCATGGCAGCCAGGAAACCTCTCGCAGCCTTTGAAGCATACCGAAATCAGGATTCGTGAATGGGATGCGTCCACGAACAGGCAGATGTCACCCGGTGCGTGGTGGACCCGGACACCAACCCTGCATCACGGAAGGTCGCTCACGCTTCGTGTGGCATGAGATGCGGCCGGGAGTCAAGCGTGCCAAGGCCCGCGACGATATTCTTACAGAAACAACCTTGGTTTTGTGCTGCAAACTAAATGCGCCGTGCCGGCTTGAGCTCGCTCGCATGCGCCTTTTTCGCAAAAAAAGCTGAGGGAGGCTGGAGGGAGAGAGGGCCCTGGAAAGGTCCTGCCGAAGCGAATCGAAAACCCACTCTCTCACACGCTCTCGCCCGCTCGCAGCTGAATCATGAGGATCATGTCACTTGACTCAATCGAACTTACAACGTTCGGCATGATTGGCCTCCGTATCCACCTTCTGCGCTTCTTGCTTCGAAGGGTTCATCTATGAACCTTTGGGTTGAAAGCACGGTGCAAGATAGCACGCATGTGCTCGCGCAAGTGCGAGCTCATCTGGATGAATTCGTGGCCACCGCCAAGTTCGGTGCATACGAATTTCTAACGGCGAGGCAGGTGGTGCATGGAGAAAGAAAGACAGGGTCCAAGCCAGCCATCAATCTAACAAAATTTCGTGGCTTCAGATCACGTGTCGCGAAGATGCACGACTGGGCGCAAATCCTGAACTGTGCGCTGCTGGGAATTCTCCCATCCGCCATGTAGCCCTTCTTCTTTCCCACCGACCAACCACCAACCACCAAACATCGAGACATTCTTCCACTCGCCGCTACGCCGAGGAACAGCGCTTCCTAGTCACGCACCAGAGCGGCACGTGTGCGGTCTCGACTCTTCCACGGCAGACTCTTCCTTACCACGGTCAACCTCTTCGTGACGACCACCATGTCGTCCGCAAATGCACCTACCAGCGCTGCCCCCGGCGCTGGGCCAGTCACCATGGATGGATCCGCCTCTGGTGCTCTTCGTGAAGCGCGCATCGCGACGCACTCGCACATCAAAGGACTTGGTCTGAGCGACGACGGCACCGCGCTCCCCTCGGCGCAGGGCTTTGTCGGCCAAAAGATGGCCCGTGAGGTAAGGCAGCTCAGGCAGAAAAGGTCCACGCAGAGGACTTCATACTCACCAATGCTATCTGTATTCTGACTTTCGACACCAGGCGTGCGGTCTCGTACTCGACCTCATTCGCATGAAGAAGTTCGCGGGCAAGGCGCTACTCCTCGCCGGTGGTCCTGGTACGGGCAAGACTGCTCTCGCTCTGGCGGTATCGCAGGAACTCGGTCAAAAGGTGCCCTTCTGTCCCATGGTCGGCTCGGAAGTCTACAGCTCCGAGGTCAAGAAGACCGAGGTGTTGATGGAGAACTTCCGAAGGGCCATCGGGTTGCGCGTGCGCGAGACCAAAGAGGTCTACGAAGGCGAGATCACCGAGCTGACGCCGACGGAAGCAGAGAACCCGCTCTCGGGCTACGGCAAGACCATCGCCCATGTTGTGATCGCACTTAAAACCGTCAAGGGCACCAAGCAGCTTCGACTGGATCCCAGCATCTACGAGAGCATCATGAAGGAGCGCATCAGCGTCGGCGACGTCATCTACATCGAGGCCAACACTGGTGCCGTCAAGCGAGTCGGCCGAAGCGATGCATACGCCACCGAGTTCGACCTGGAGGCGGAAGAGTACGTGCCGCTGCCCAAGGGAGAGGTCCACAAGCGCAAGGAAGTGGTACAGGACGTCACCCTCCACGACCTCGACATGGCCAACGCAAAGCCCCAAGGAGGACAGGACATCATGAGCGTCGTCGGCCAGCTCGTCAAGGGACGAAGGACAGAGGTGACCGACAAGCTGCGTAGCGAGATCAACAGGGTCGTGGACAAGTACATCGAGCAGGGCATCGCCGAGCTGGTGCCTGGTGTCTTGTTCATCGACGAGGTGCACATGCTCGACATGGAGTGCTTCACCTACCTCAACCGAGCGCTCGAGTCGACCATCAGCCCACACGTGATCTTGGCCACCA